GTAATACTGGTAACTGTCTAGTATGGCCGAAGCCAAAAGGCGTCACTGCTACACGATCGTACATGAACCGCCACCTCCTTTCTCCGTCCTTCCGCACGCGACTTCTGCTCCTTTCGTCATTGCAGAAGGTCGCTGGTATAAGCTCCCGAAATGCATGCAAGTCTCCCAAGCGGTGGTATCCTCAATGCCTCCAACCAGTATTTTACGCCGTAGATAGATGGTCATGAAATGCAGCCTCCCCCAAACGCCTCGCGCTAAGTTTCCTTGACAAATTAGGAAAGAGATGAGTGTATGATGTAGAGAGCTTCACTTCATCAGCCTACGCAGGATGCCCGCCACGAGGCGCAACGGTCCGCAATATTGTAAACGGCCTAAGTGGATGATGTGCTACCTCGTCTGGTCCCCGTTATTCTGCCCTGCGATCCCGAGGTGGTATTAGCGGATGAACAATACTCATACATGAGTGGAAGATACAACAAGAACGCGCAACATGTAATTAAGGGGAAGAAGAGCCCAGGTAGGTAGGGTAGGAGGAAGTACCCTGTCCAGGATAGCTAGGCCGCGAAGCAGGCTGTGCTGGTCGATAGGATTGATACCCATGGCGTGGTGGAGGTGTAGATGGAGGCCGGGAGTAATCAGAACGCATGCTGGCAGACCCACTATGGTAGGTTGGTGGCAGTGGACGACTATGGGCAGAGTGACTGCCGAGGGGAGGTAAATGATACCGACGGGGCGGATCAGGAAGGCTATTGGGGGTAGTGTACGCTACCTTTTTCGTTGGTCTTACTGGCTCATCATCATCGCTCAAGGTCAGATCCACTACTTCGGATTTTCTCTTCTGGCCAGACCGGGGGGCTGTGGATGTCTCGCGAGAAGGCAGTGGAGGGGTGCTGAGCGAAGTGGGTGTCGGCGCAGCTTCGGTCTTGATGGCCTGTATACGGTAATCTGGTATCTCGATGAGGTCATCATCACTATCGTCATGATGCCCATTGTGCCCGTTTTGTTTGGGCTTCTCATCCTTTTCGGTCGACCATTGTCCGCTTGGCTGGATGGTGACCTGGTCCGTGTTCTGGGCCTTGTTGAGGATTTCCTCAACATACTGGTCGACGGCCAAGCCTTCGTATGATATGGTCTTGCTGCATATTGGGCATGTCCATGTGGGAGCTTGCTCCTGGAGCTGCAGAAATGAGTCGGCGTCAAAGCATTGATTGTGTGTGCACACAGTCGACCTGCATGGGGTGACAATGCGCAGGGTAGAGATTGGGTCCTTGAGCGACATGACGCTGGAGCCAACTTCGATATCGGGGTCATTGGCCTTCTTCATCACTGTTACAACATTAGTCATGTGAGAGATGTTAGCTGCCAAGGGCCACTACATACTCTCATTGAGCACAGACTGCCTCGTGATGACGTGGCGCTGCTTGATGCGCTGTGTGAGCTCGTCGACCGAGAACTTCCTGACCAAGTAGACGAAGAGGTTGTACTTCTGCATTGAGAGTTAGCTCAGAGTCAGGTTTGGGAAGCTGATGGGATAAGAAACCTCCGACCGACTTGCCTTCTGAGTCAGGGCGTAGGTGATGAGGATGCTGTTGCGCTGGTTGGCGACCTTGGTGCGGACGAAGTCGGTAATGTCGGCGGGGCGCGTAGAGCCTGGCTTGTTTTTCAAACCCTTGTAGTTGGCCTTTACCTCGTCGTCGTTGACCTTGACCTCAATTTGAGATGGGAATGCGATATCGAGACGCGAGAAGGGCGCCAATGGCTGTTCGAGCGCGGAGAAGAGCAGCAGGCGCAAAGACGGGTCTGTCTTTAGGCGTCCGGACTGGCTTTCGTTGAGGGTGAGGTTACGCGATATGGTGGCACGGTGGGTCGGCGAAGCGTCCAGAGACATATTACTCAGTATCAGCTCGCGAATCTCGAAGAAAGGGCTCTCCTTGAAGAAATAGGTCGGGCGTGGCGGCATGGGTGGCTGCTGGGGCTGTTGGTATGGCTGGTATGCGCCGTTGCTTTGGAAGCCGTTGGCCATGCTGTACCCGTTCGCGATGGGCGGAGGGGGCTGCGAGTACGAGGAGGCGACGGGACTGCTCGTGGCTGGTGGAGGCGCTTCGCCGTGGTGTTGCACGCGGTATTGCAGTCGCCGCAGCAGGTCGGTGTCGCTCCTAGCAACGGCATTGGCGATGACTGGGGAGGGTGAAGTTAGCAGGTGAGCGGCGACAGCAAGCCGTGTTGCTGGGAGCGGAGATACCTACGGCCAATGACGCGCGCTTGCAGTGCGGCCTTGTTGCCCGTCTGCGAGGTGCCCTCCTCTTTGAGAATCTTTTTGAGGTCGTTGTTGATGAGTGTCTTGGAGCGCTCGGTGATGGTGGCAGCCATCTGCTGCATGCTCGTCGCCATGGTTTTGTGCCGTCGCGGTGGAGAGGCTGGCGGTGTTGGAGAGGGAGGTCAAGGGCTACCGATTCAGTTTTGCTCGCGAAGGCATCTGGGGCGGGCTATCTCAGGCACTCTCTCTCGGGCGGGTGACGTAGGGCGAGGTGAAGGCAGCGAAGGGCGATATCCGGCTATCTGAGGTGCAGTCGAGTCGGACGGGCGTTGGTCGCAACTTCCCAAAGCCCCCGGCGGCAATGCAGAGCGAGCAGGACAGGCGGGCGGGACAGTCGCGGAGCAGCAAACAGGCGAGCAGAGGCCGCAATGCGACTTTTCTAGTATTCGGCCGTCGAGGTAGGCGGCGGCTCTCGCGGCGAGCGCATCTCCAGCTGGGATATACCGAAGTCAGCGTCACCTGCAACTAGGCGAAGAACGCGACTAGGGCACGGGCCGGCCTGGCTCGATACGCCAAACGCCTTGCCACCAAAATTCCCTCGAACTTTTCCCCACCAGCCGCCGCCGACTTGACCAAGACATACGCCCAAACACCCATTCACCCACACATTCCCCGGCACTCTCTCTACACAATGGCCAAAGGCGCACGCGCAAGCAGCAAAAAGGCGAACCGCACCAAGCTGCGCGCCCGAGTTTTCGGCCCCGTCGAGCAGGCACGCGCCGAGCGCCTGCACGCCAAACTTCTCGAGACGATTGCCCAGCCCAAGCCCGAGAGGACTGAGATGGAAACCGAAGAAAGTGAGTCGCCCAACCGTCCCCCGCCATATGCACCTTCTAATCATGTCCCAGCCAACACCACCGACGATGCCGCCAAGGAGGACTTGCCCAAAGGTTCGTCTCTGCTTACTGTCCCCATACCACGCTCCCTATCCGATCCCTCTGCAAGTCCACTCGACCCCGCAGAAGAGGACTGCGAGCTCGGAAACCTGTGTTTCCACCTAGGCCTGTGTTCAGACATCCTGGGCTTCACCGATGACGGCCATCTCAAATTCGCCTTTGACCCGCTTCCTCCGCACTGGTAGAGTGAGAATCAAGGGCTAACTTTGACTTGCTAGATATGGACGTCGACGGCACCGCCACCTCTGCGAAGAGCTCGAGCTCGCGCAAGACCAAGGACAAGAGCCAGACCCGGAAACAACTGCGACGCAAGCCCCAGAACAAGGTCTCCTTCCCTACTTCACGAGGCAAGGGCGCACTGAAGCCCAATGGTGGACGTCCCAGCGGCCCCGGCCGTATCGGCAAACGACGAGCATGATTTCCATCCACGTATACTGGCGTTGTTCATTGCATTTTCCGGCGTTTAAAATATTGCTCTACAGCACAGAGCTACGGTTTTGGAGGATACCATGTCCATGAGGACTTGCTCGAACAGTTTCGAGAATGTACGTTTGTACATGCAGCAATCTGTTGACTGAGATTGCAGTCAGTCCAATTTCAACTGCAGTAATTCAGCTGTTAATATTCTTCCTTAATTGTGCTTGCCGTGCTGAACGTATCTGTACTTTGCACCTTCCTTACGTGATGCGCTAGGTCTGATATAGTGTACCTGCTCACCTGGGCAGGGAAACATCTCATCTGTCGCGCCTGCCTCTTTGTTCTTCTGTCGCTGCAGTTGACCCCACCCCACTTCCACCCTCCCCTCCAGCATGGCCAATTCCACTTTCCGCTTCCTCGATCTTCCGAAAGAGTTGCGCCTTATCATCTACGAATACATCCCCATTACAACACGCCATCACGTTTGGGAAGACGCGGCAAGACATACTTCTCGGGGCGAGTTCCTGTCTGGAAATACCATTACACTAGTGGTCAAATCGATATCAACCGGGATACTTCTCGTTTCTTCTTCGATCCACGACGAGTGCAAGCCAATTCTCGACCGCAAGCTCAATGCTCTCCAAGTTGAGCCACTACGTCTCATCGTCGACAAGCAGAGTCTGTTGACCCTGACGAGACACAAGAACAGCCTTCTTTGGTGTCTCCAGGACTTCATGAGATTCAAGACTGGACAGAGCCACTCACAGTGCTGGGATGAGGGCAAGGCTCAACTATCGGGTGTCATGTTCAACTTCAACTTCAATTGCCGAGAATATGCGCGCCTCATCGAATTCCTAAGTTTGATAACGAAACTTCGTTTGAAGCGTTTGCCTCGCTCCAGCGTTATAGCTGTACGACACAAAGGCTTCTATGGCGAGAGATTGCAAGTGAGCAACGACTTTGTCAACCCTGCGCGGTGTCCAATGTTCGGGTTTCCACCGCCTACTTGGACATACTATCCTCTGAAGCAGGATATGCAGCAAGACGAGTACAATATGAGGGACGACTTTACGGAACTGATTCGCTTATGCGGCAATGACCCCCACTTGAACTTTATCAAGTTCGTTGAGCCTGGAACGCTGGAAGAATGGGCTAGAGATTGGGAGGAGGGCGAATGGGCGACCTCGACCTAGGTACTGTGAGCGATATAGTGACAAACCCGAAAAGGATACCCTGGCTACACTCTTGAGGCACAGAAAGCGGCGCTATGCATTTCCAATGAGCGGGATAGCAGGAGAGAAGGGTACAAATGTGGTTTGCAACATCCCTACCGTGCTTTGCAACATAGCACGTCTGGATTTTCCTTGCCTCTATATATCTACAGACAGACCAGGGTCGAAATCCACGTCTCCTAGCCCGCCAAGCAGTCCCCCGAAAAGACCTCCGTTAATGCTTTGCAGTGTCCAGTCATCAAGCGCCCCCGCATCGTTCGACGAATCAAGGAACGACCACCGATTGTCCCACTCCGTGAGTGATGACTGTGTCTGGTCAGCTACCTGAGTAGACAGCGTCTCCTCAGCCAACGGGATATCGGAGGCTAGCCTGCGCTGTAGGCTGATGGTGCCAAAATACGGCAAGTGAAGCTGCAAGACCGCCTTCTCAGCGTCCATGAACTGGCCATCAAATTCCGTCGCCAGCCCATCATCTGTCTCACTAGCCGAAGTATTGTAGCCAGTCCCATTTGCCGATGCCGCTTCGGCGTCGAGAAGATACTGTATGATACTCGATAGCTTCGTGGCGAGAGCATCGTCGCTCCTCTCTCCCAATACCTTGACCGTTAGCTCCATCAAAGCGCGATCGCTCGGACGGCTATGATCGAAAAGTGCTTTGTGCCGAATCATCGATTGGTTCTGCGAATCGATATGGGTCAAACACAGCACCATGAGGGCGACGAAAGCCAAACAATCGACTCCTCTGCAATAATACGGACCGCGTTTCCAGTTGCGAAACGCGATATATCGACTCATGATTTCGCGGGCGGCATGCACAGCTGTCGCTTTACTTTCTTCGCACCTATCGTCGCCCGACGAGCGAAGAACATACGGTAGATGCAGGCGTATAACGAGGTAGAAGTGCGACAGCTGATACATATTCCTTACAACCTCATGCATCGGATCCGAGTCGCCCCCGTCCTTGTTGTCAAAGTCTCGAATAAGCCACCAGTCCGACGGCATCAGCTCCGTCACCTCCTTGAACAAGTCGTCAATTTCCCGGACCCTTTTCTCCGTAACATCGCGCGGCTCTCCTACTCTACGCGCCAAGATACGATCTCCAATGACGCATTGCAGCCTCGCGATGCGGTCCAGCGGATGGCACTTTGCTATAACTTCAGCGCTCAGCCCGACTGTCTGCAGCGAAGACTGCGGCAGCCCCAGTGTCAACGAGAGGTAGCGATCCATCTCCACAATACGACAGCACAGCTGGTCTGGATCGAGGCCCTCGCGCGTCTTGGGATCCACCACTTTGACAGAAGCTCGTTTAGCATTACCACGATGCAGACCCAACATCTGCGCTACGGCAACGGCGCGGCGCACATTCAGCCACGCGCGGTGTAGGTTCCCAGCGTAGTTCTGGGTAATGGCTTCGATCATGATGCACTCGACGCCCTCAACAGAGGCGGTTAGCTCGTCACTGGAGGTTACCAGTCGCGTTGCTGTATCCATGGCATGAGCCATGACTTTACTGAGATGCTCTCGCTGGCTTCTGGGTATACAGTCATCGGATAGTGCGCCCTGCACTATATTGCTGAGTAAAAGGAGTTTCCGCGCTATTAGTACTGGATGCGATCCTGGTGGTGGTAGCTGCAATATCTTTCGTGGGCTATCTGGAACCTGGTTCATCAGGTTGGCAGAGGATGTCGTTAGTTTCATGTGCATGTGCGTGGAGATGCTGACAGGTAGCTTGCAGATGTAGTCGAGATCTTGGGTTGTAGGCCATGCTGCGACGAGGTCTCGGGATATATCAGTGTATATATCGCTAAGTGCTGGTTCTGGTTGTTGCGAGAGATCTGTGAGTGTTGATGTGGTTTCTGTGGAGGTGGATGATGTGATGTTGATGTTTCTTGTGTGATCCTTGTGAGTGTCAGAGATGAATGTAGGATAGACCCCAGCACGCTACACATACTATTGTGCTCCTCGGTCTCTCCAGGACTGCATCTCCCGGATACTCGTCAGCAATGTCGTGGCGCCTGTCTGTCGACGATCCAATAAGTCGCTCAAGCAACGTCTCCACCCGACCCAAACGCGTCTCTAATCCAGCATCTCCTCTCTTGTTCTCATTCGGTTCATCCGCAAACTCCTGACTAACACAGTCTGTTTTGCGTCGCACGCAGTTACTACATTTGGACTTGGTAGGTGATGCCCAGATGCATCGGACTTTCCGTTTCTTACACTCCCAGCAACTTTGAGTACCTTTGCGTACTTTACGCCGCTTTGCCGCTCTTTCGTCTTCATAAGGGTTGGTCTGAGGTGACCGGGAGGGGGACGGGTGCATATTCGATTGTGTGTTGATGGAGGTTGGGGAGGGAAGTGACAAGAGTGGCTGGTGCAGTAGGGCAGTGGTATTCGGCCGAAATCTCGGACGAAAGCTCCGGACGGGTTACACAGTAGAGACAGTACATTTTTCGCTATTAGAAACTTACTACTGCTGCAGTTAGTCTACGCCATCGCATTACCCCGAAGACCGGCTGCGCAACATGGTTCATTCGACTGTCTTATCACGGCTTCCCCTCCCATGCCTTGCGCAAAAACGTCCTCACATCCGTGAACTCATAATCGGGCAACAATCGGTTCCATTCATCTCCCACATCGAAGGCACCTGCCCCAAAAGCCTTAGTGAAGCCAATCAGTACCATTTTTGCCATCTCCCCAGCCATCGCCGGTGGGACGGCATTATGTTCAAATTCCGGTAACCAGGAGGCAGTCCAGTTCCCGTTTTTCAAGTCCTCGTTGGAGAGTCTTTCGATGGCAAAGGGTCCACCTGTGATATCTTATTAGTAAACAAGCAGACAGCGGCACGGCTCATCTGAGCTGGAAGAAGGCGAAGGACTGACCTCTTATTTCTTCGCCAAGAGCAACGAGCTCCTTGATGGAGATGCGCGAGCCTCGAATGCCGCCCACGACCGGCCATTCGCCCTCGTAATCGATTGCTCGCGCGACAACGCCGGCGAGATCTTGTACCGTAGTCAAGACGATGGTATCGTCATCCCCGCCTTCTCGCATGATGGCCCTACGATTCTCGAAATCGTAAATCATCCGGAGCGGCGTGAGATGTTTGGCTGACTTGTATGGAACGGTTAAGTAGTTGGAAAAGAGACCAGGCTGGAAAAGAGTGTACTCGATGACTTTTCTGTCTTTGTTGATCTCGGCTAGGTATTCGCGTATCGTGTCCTTGAACGAATACCACGGCGTGTGCTCTAAGATAGATCTGGATCATGGTTAGCAAGCGCAGAAGAGTGGGCGATTGCAATGACTTACGAGACCCATTCGCTGGGTACGAAACGCTTTACCCCAGCCTTGATTGAGGCATCGATGAGATTCTTCTGGAAGGTGACCCCTTGTTGCAGATCCAGTGGCGCGATGAAAGATAGTACTACGTCTACGCCTTGTAGATGACTAGTCAGTTGAGCCACGTCTTCGTAGTTGGCTTTCACTAGTTTGACGGGCGAGTCGGTAGACTCGGTGGGGACGTCCTAGAAGATATGTCAGTATCAAGTAAGGTGAGCGACACGTGATAATGACCTTGCGTGTGAAAATCACAATCTCGTGCTTCTTCGTGGCGAGGAGAGCATCGATGCACTCTTGCCCTACGTCTGGAAAGATGTTAGTTCATCCAGTCAGTATGATCCGCGGGAAACCTACTTCCAGCACCGCCTGCAATTGCGATTTTGACCATGTTGGGCAATGGGGTTGTGTTCAGTGAAGTGGATAGAGACAAGGGATTGGTGTTAATTTGATTGGAATGATTCGTGTTGCTAAGTGCTTGTGATGATACATCTACCGCGCATGTTGTTTCTCTTATACGAGAGGGAAGGCCGAGTTTTCGGCCGAATGGTGTAGTGTCTCGCTGGTGCGTAGTTGGTCCCCCGAAAACTCGGTGTAATGATTGCAAGACAAACTAGCGAGTGTATGCTACTCGTCAGTAATCAATATACTCCCAACGGGTGATAGTCGCTACGTTTTCTTGTCCGATGTTGATCAACGTCCTCCGTATCCTAGCAAACTCCCGCAACTGGAGAGTGGAATGCCTCCCTTGGACTCGGGGTTGCAGCACAGTTGCTCCGATCGAACGTTCATGGTCTCGCAATTCACTCCGAGGTCCGCTCGAGAAGCTGCGCAACAATGGCGCTGCCAGAACCCGCTGTGAGTGCTTTGCACAGCAGCAATACCATCACGAACACGCGAATGTTCCAACGTTGAGCCGTATGCAACGCTTGGGAAGAAAGCCATGGTGCACTGAGCATGTTGAGGCCCCTTGCTCTCTTCAACAAGCACTTTCAAGCACCTGCACGACTGATGGCTGGCTTTCAGTCGCGCGATTTTGTCCAAACACCGATGGGTATGTCATTTCCTTGGGCGTATATTGCGTCGAATAGCTAGTGGGACGAGAAATCGATCTAACGTAGTACGGATTTATATACAGCGGTGGGTGTAATCGATTGGTGCCGGAAGTTGTATCCCAGATCCAGAATTGGAGCGAAGTATAGCGTGGGTCGTAAGACTGTGAGTAGTACTTTGCCTACTTGCTCCTCAAACCTATGGTTTCGTAATCCACTTACATTGTCAAAAATGAAAAATTCATCCTCAAGAATTCAGTGGTGGCAACATCGTACGGACAGTCCGCGACGGCGGCGAGCGCAAAAAGATGGACTTGCAGGGAATCGAACCCTGGACCACTCCCATGCTAAGGGAGTATTATACCACTAAACCACAAGCCCGGTTGTTGAGATCTTGCTCAAATTTGAAGCGAATTGTTGATTCGCTGGTTGATGGAGGTTTGCCAGACAGATGTGTTTATATTGCGCAATGTGAGAGGTGACATGTAACGGCGGCGCCAACGGACTTGCTGGTTCATGTGGGACGGATAGGGGCTTCCCTCCCATGCTACGGCATGTCCCGGTAGCGGGAATGTCGATGATTCGTTTGCCGCTGTTCAAGAGGACGACAGATACGATACTACAATGTTTGAGTTGTCATGGGCCAAGGTGTTGCTCGTCGAGTACATCGCCATGGCCAATGATGTTTGAGGACGAAGTCCTTCGTGCGGTCGAGCTGATGCCGGTTCGCCGAACCTTCGGGCGAGTGGAACCCACTGCGCTTGGCTATTTCCAGCTGGCAACGATACATCCCAACGCTTGCATGTCGCAATGCTTCGATAAAGTCTCCGTGTTTGTAAATAACGGTGGTCGTTCTTGCTGAGAGATCGCGCTGTATCCAGCAGGTGCGCATAGCTGTTTGCGACAAAGGCCGACCTTCCTTCGATATCGTATACAGCTGGCGTATCCTAGAGAGGCTGGTTGCGCGATACAACGCGCCTTGTAGTAGTCGCGTGCGACGAGCGATCGCGATCCCGATGGAGAGTAGTTGCGTGGGGGATGCAGGTGGTTGGTGGAAGGCGGGGAGCTAGGTGGATTGGCGTCGGTAGCTGGCTAGCACCTGCCAAGCTCCAACCTTTGAGACTCATTTTCACCACTCACACTTCACCGCCGATGTATAGGCAGCGTTTTTTATGTCAAAAATCAGATGTAGCCATTTATGGATGTTGGCTTTATGTTCAGACGTCAAACAAATTCTCGCAGCCGATCTTGTTTTCTCTATCTATCGCATTGTCCAATTTCGTGCACATCTATCTTCACATCCATTATTTCATCCTCGCTTCAATCCAACTCCCCATCTGAATCTTCGCTAGACTCGTCACTCGACAGCTCCTCTTCTTTAAACACTCCGTCAAAGGTCTTGAGGCTCCATCTTGACTCCATCTCTTCCAGTTCCAGTTCTTCGCTAACCTCGAAACGCGCATCCTTGAAATCCTGAACAATTTCTTCAACATCCGCGTCAAGCTCTTCTGAGCATTCAATTGTCACCGCGAACTTGGGACGATACATGCCGGAGTCGGACGCGTCCCAGCGGGGATTGATGATGTCTCCGATGGCAGAGGGGAGCAGTTCCACAAATTTCTCGCAAGCGGCGTCGTTCCCAATCCAGACACCGACCTCGATTCGCTCGTTTGTCTTGAGGTATAGATTTGCGAGGCGCATCCACATCTGATACATAACCGCGTCCATCCGAACTTGCTCGACTAGGTTTCTGCGGGTGAATATGGTATCGAAATTCTCACGCTCGTCATCGGCCAGTCCCATGTTCGGTGGGACATAGCCTTGTCGGGCATTTCGAATATCGGCAAGGACTTCAGGGACGAAGTGGAAGTAATCGCAGTCTGCGATGAGCTGAGCCGGGCCACACTTCTGGGTTTCCTCGTCGATGACCTTTTCAGCTTCGTTTCGAATTGCCTTTGACACGGCGACTATAGCGCGTTCGATATACGAGAATCTGACGACAACCACCGGCGTTCTGATGTTGTCTCGTCGTGCTATTGCGTACTTCGTGGTACAGTGGAGGTTTTTGTAGACTTCAGCACGCAGCTCAGCTGGTAGTCTTTCGAACGGAAAAGGAGTGTTCGCCATGTCCTGGATACCGTCAGCAATCTTTCCAATGGCGTATGTGTACTGAAAACGAAGTGAGGCAGGATTCGGTGTCTAGTCGGAGGGCGTGGGTCGCGCACTTAGATCATCGAAGCCTCCGCGGTCCTTAATGAGCTCGTGCAAAGGAGTACCAAAACCACTGAATACTTACGCGCTAGGTAGGCTTGATAGAACTGTGTGTAAGTTTGGTAAGTGCACTTGCAGTCGAATATTCTGTGTATTAGAGACTCAATTTGGTCCCGGATGGTAGGCTTATTTATATACTCGAGCGGGGTATCGCCACGAGAGTAGGCCGACGCATTGACTCGGCCATTTGGTAGACAGTCAAGGTATAGTTGTCTTATTCATTACTGCAGCCCTTGGTGTTCATATATCTGTCGTGGGTTTGCTATCCGGCGCATCGGCCGGGTCACGAGAGCGCGAGACTCCACATGATCTTGTCATCGCAAACTTTCGAGATACCGCGCGCTACACTTCTGTTCGAAAGCAGACACCGATAACCCTTTACAGTATCAGCCTGGCCAACAAGCTCCCGAAATCGGTCTCCTGTACAATGAAGAAGCAGCGCAACACTGGACAGCCACGAAAAGTGGATTTGGCGTTTCGACTCATATGCCCAGATCCGGAATAAACATCCAGCGATACTCTGGACTCTAGTGACAGTTCGTATACTACCTCGTTTCGTCATCTTGTTTGTTCGAGTCATTTGTTATTCATGTCAACGTTCTTCCAAGCGGACGACAAACATTTGTCTCGCACTCTTGATGGTGATGGCAAATTGAGCGCTAGTAATTATCAAAGACGTTACAGAAAGGAGATCAGCCTAGTTCAGGAGTACCACCAGACTCTTTATCGCTTGCGTTGTTCTTCGATCTAGATCAAAATTACCACTATCGGTAGGAGATTGTCAATGAACGAAATAAGAACTACTGCTGATCTTCAGCCCACTCATTAGTAACAGCTTGGGAGTGTGGCAAGAAAGCTAAATAAAGCCAACCGACACCCGAGATGGATAACTCATGATGAAACTCCTGGACAAAAGGAACGATAACGCAGGCTCAATGACCTAAGTATTTCTGAAGGACGCTCGCAACTGTCGCAGTCCGACGGCGTAAAGTATCGTCGAATGATGCCCGACGTTTACAAATTATATTAGTTCGCTCCCTGATCGACTTCGCCATCCCCGTACCAGGTATCTGGATTACCCCAGAACACGTGGAGGGAGACCTCAAAACTCGGCTCGGTCTCGATCGGCAAAGCCCTAACCAAAAGCAAAGTGACGTCACACAGCGCAGGAACGTCCAACCTGCCTGATTAGCCTTGCTTTCCCCATGAAATCCACCCAAGCGCCCGTCTGCAGGGACCATCCGTGTCACTGTACATAACTACCCTTGATCCGGCTAACGCGACGCTACGGAAGGGTGGTGTTGACACACCTGCAAATCTGCCGAGGCCAACGCTCGACTTCTTTACGCCCCACAACGCGAACACGAGACCGCTGATGAACGCTAGGGGCCAACGACCATGACGATCCGGATACCTTTCCACGGAGGAGGTCCTGTAGGCGCGTGACTCTAGACTACCTTGTTGACCGCAACAGAGGTCTGACTGGTGAAGATGACTCCTAGGCAAGTTACTCGAAACTAAAATCGTCAACCAAAGCGCGTTTGAGACTTGAGCTGATTCGAGGCAGTTGGAAGCATTCTTCCCCAGTCATGCCGTGGGAACTAACAATATGTGGCTGAAGTCAAGAACGAACGTTTCCGGACGATGCTGCAGGAAGCT